GGAGAGACAGCCTATAGATCAGGTAAGTGAGAGATGGGGGAGTGCAGCATACAGATCAGGTAAGTGAGAGATGGGGGAGACAGCCTATAGATCAGGTAAGTGAGGGATGGGGGGGAAGGCAGCCTATAGATCAGGTAAGTGAGGGATGGGGGGACAGCCTACAGGAAGGGTCAGCAAGGAGCAGGAAGGGACAGCAAAGAGCACAAAGGTAAAGTAGAAGAAGGAGCACAAGGGGCAGGAATGAGCAGGAAGGGGCAGCAAGAAGCAGGAAGTGTCAGCAAGGAGAAGGAATGGTCAGCAAGAAGCAGGAAGGGTCAACAAGAAGCAGGAAGGGTCAACAAGGAGCTGGAAGGTAAAGCAGCACAAATGTAAAGTAGAAGGAGCAGAAAGGGTCAGCAAGGAGCAGGAAGGGGCAGCAAGAAGCAGGAAGGGTCTGCAAGGAGCAGGAAGGGGCAGCAAGGAGAAGAAACAGGAAGGGTCAACAAGGAGCTGGATGGTAAAGCAGCACAAATGTAAAATAGAAGGAGCAGAAGCAAGAAGCTGGAAGGGACAGAAGGAGCACAAAGGTAAAATAGGATAAGGAACAGAAATGAGCAGGAAGGGACATCAAGGATCAGAAAGGGTCAGCAATGAGCTGGAAGGGGCAGAAAGAGCACAAATGTAAAGAAGAGGAAGGAGCAGAAATTAGCAGGAAGGATCAACAAGGAGCAGGAATGGTCTGCTAGGAGAAGGAAGGGACAGAAGGCGCACAAAGGTTAAGGAGCAGAAAGAATCAGGAGCACAAAGGTAAAGTAGGAGAAGGAGCAGAAAAGGGTAGCAAGGAGCAGAAAGGGACAGCAAGGAGCACAAAGGTAAAGTAGGAGAAGGAGCATAAAGGGTCTGCAAGAAGCAGAAATGGATCAGAAAGAGAAAGGAGCAGAAGTGGACAAAATAAGCAGAAAGTAGCAGAAAGGTAAAGGAGCCAAGAAGGAGAGAAGACAATGTCAGAAGAAAAGGAGATTGGAGCAGGAAGGACAAGTGAAGTGAACCCTCCACTTTATTCTGGACACCACTGTCACCACATCATAAGGCTTTAGTAACTGGGCCTGGCAGGGAAACTTTGGACCTTCTCATTTACCCAGGTAAAAAAAAAAATATCAGTGTTAATGTGTTCACTTTTATTTATAAGGAAGCACAGAGTGCCGCTGGATAGGGGTGTCGCTGGAACTCTAAGCCAATCAGTAGCTCCCCATTCATTAAAAAGTTTTAAAAAATTATGAACTGGGAACCAGCGATTGGCTTAGAGAATCAACTGACCACTCTAGCCAATCTGCAGCACCCATGCCTAACGTCAATCGGCACTTCCTGACACTCCGTTTCAGAAGCTGAATACCACTGAGTGACCTGGAGATCTGGAGCTGGAGGAAGCCTTTGGGGTTAAACCATTTAAAGCGGTTTAACCCCTTCAAGGAAAGAGAGCACCCTGGGGCTTCCTGGCATCATAGCATTTTCATTTAGATGAAGTTGTTATGGTGACTAGAATGTTCCTTTAATTTGCTTAAAGGAACATTATAGTGTCAGGAATACAAACATGTATTCTTGACACCATAGTTGTGAAAACGCTATTCACCAGGGCCGGACTGGGGATACAAAGCAGCCCTGGAAAAAAAATTTGTGCCAGCCCCATAAGTCACGTGTAATATGTAAGGCTATGTCTTGCCAGGACAGATGATTGAGTAATATATATATATATATATATATATATATATATATATATATTGCTTTTTCTAATATAAAATATTGGTCCTTTCAGGGTAAAACGTTTAATTATACAGTAAGCATATGCACATGCAGACACAGGCAATTTCACTGACATTTCAGTGACACACACAAGCTCATTGATACACACACACACAGCTTAATGTGGTGGTACTGGTGTCTATAGCATGTCCCTACAGGCTTTTCAACGTAAACACTGACTTTTCAGACAAAAGGCAGTGTTTACATTGCTTCAAAGTGACACTGCTAGTGACAGTCACTCAGACGGTCACTAGAGGTGCTTCCTGTGTTAGTGCCCTCCCGCCCTCGCGCGCTGCTGAATGAGACTGGCGCCGGAATATGACGTCATATTCCGGCGCCGGTCTCATTCAGCTGCGTGCTGGGAGCAGAGCCAGCGCAGCTCGCGCAGCTCCCTCAGCGGCCGCCAGGACAAGTCCGCCAGCGGCCGCCAAAAGACCTCCCCAGCGGCCAGGGGAGGGCTGGCAGCCTTAGGCCTGGGGGGCAAAACCAGTCAAGTAGACTGGTGCACCTGCCCAGGATCAGAGCCGGTGCAAGGATTTTTGCCGCCCTAGACAAAATAAAAATTTGCTGCCCCCACATGTCACATCACAATGCCCCACCCATATGATCTGCCATATGAACTAACGCCAGTGCTGCACACAGTGTGTGTTTACATTAAAAAGCCTGCAGGGACCAGCTATAGACACCAGAACCACTTCATTAAGCTATAGTGTCCCTTTAATGTGAGGTAAATTATAGATTAGTGTCACTAATAATATACTAGATTGCCTACTTACAAGCAGATGAGGATGATGATGGGCTGCAGTTTGGCTCCACTGGTCTGGTGTAGAACAGGATCTCTGGAGGCTGTTTGCAACTATGGTCACAAAATTCAATGTTCTGGGAGAATTGGAAGCAGCTCAATTTTTTTGGGGCCCCTTACACAGCTCAAGGTCTGGGCCCCAGGGCCTGACGGTGAGTATGCCCATAAGGCCCACTCATAAGTTCCACCCACCCATGAGTTCGCTCACAGGGAGTGGAGTGTGTAGGGGATGTGTTATGTGTTATTGTAGAGGATCTAATATGTGTGCTTATGGTATGTAGTGTTTAGGGTTACCAGTTTGTGCAGGTGATGCAGTGTGTTTGTGTGTAGTGGAAGCAGTGTGTATTTGTGTATAAGGGATGTATTATGTGTTTCTGGTTGTGTGTAAGGGATGCATTGTGTGAATCTGTGTTTGTATGCATAAGGGATGCAAGGTGTGTGTCTGTATGTGTGTGCATGAGATGCATTGTGTTTCTGTGTGTATGTAAGAAAAGAAGTGTGTGTGTTTGCATGCGTGTGTACGGGTTTGCATTGTCTGTTTCTGTGTATGTGTGCAAAGGATGCATTGTCTTTGTGTGTAAGGGTTGCATTGTGTGTGTGTGTGTAATGGATGCATTGTGTGTTTCTCTGTGTGTAAGGGAAGCATGTTGTGTTTCTGTGTATGTATAGGGATGCATTGTGTGTGTGTGTGCACGCGTAGTGTGAAAGAGCTCCCTGTCTTGGCCCCTGTCCTATAGAGCTGCCCCTTCTTCTTATTCCCCCCTCCCCTTCTTCTTATTCGCCCCCTCCCCTCTTCTTATTCTCCCTTTTTATTCCCTCTTCTTATTCCTCCCCTCTTCTTATT